GTTCTTTAAAAAGATCAATAAAATTGATCTAGATACAAGCCTCTAGTCAGGCTAACTAAGAAAAAAAGAGAGAGGACAAAAATTACCAATGTCATAAATAAAAAAGGAAACATCACTACAGGTTCGATGGACATTAAAAAGATAATGAAGAACTCTATGCTCACAAATTTGATAGTCTAGATGAAATGGACCAATTCCTTGAAAGGAGAATCTGCCAAAATTCACAGCAGAAGAAATAGAGAATCTTAATGGCCCTACATCTTTTAAAGAAATTGAATAAATAATAAGTTTGAAGAACACAAAGCATCAGGCCTCCGTGGGTTTATTGGTGAAAACATCTACCACTGCCAAACATTCAAGGGAGAAATTATACCAATTCTCTACAATGTCTTTTGGAGGACAGAAGTAGAGGTAGTACTTCCTAACTCGTATTATGAGGCCAGCATCGCTCTAATATTGAAACCAGACAAAAACATTACAAGAAAAGAAAACTACTTGACAATATTTCTCATGAACACAGATGCAAAAATCCTCAACAAAATATTGAATCCAACAATGAATTGAATCCAGTAATGTACAAAAAGAATTATACAACATAACCAAATGAGAGTATCCAAGTATGCAAGGCTGGCTCAACATTTGAAAATCATTAATGTGATTCATCATATAAACAGGCTAAAGAAGAATTCTCACACGATAATGTCAATAGATGCAGAAGAAGCATTTGACAAAATTCAACACCCATTCATGATAAAAACTCTCAGTAAAGTAGGAAGACAGGGGAACTTATTCGAATTTACAAAGAATATTTACAACAAACCTACAGCTAACACCTTTCTTAATGCTGAGAAACTAGAAGCTTTCCGGTTAAGATTAGGAACAAGGCAAATATGTCTCCTCTCTCCACTCCTATTCAACGTCGTACTGGAAGTCCTAGTTAATGCAATGCCACTAAAAGGAAATAAAAGATATGTAGATTGGGAAGAAAGAAATAAAACTGTACTTATTCATACACGACATGATCATATATGTAGAAAATATGAAAGAACCCACAAAAGAACTCCTGGAACTAATAAGTATATAGCAAGGTTTTAAGATACAAGGTTAGTATACAAAAGTAAATCACTTTCCTATATATGTACCAGCAATGAATAAGTAGAATTTGAAATTAAAAATACAATACAATACCATTGACATTAGCACCCCACAAAATGAAATACTTAGGATTAAATCTTACAAAATATGTGCAAGGTCTATATGAGGAAAATCACAAAATTGTGATGAAAGTAATCGAGAAAGAATTAAACACATGGAGATATATTCTATGTTCACTGATAGGAAGAATCAATGTCGTCAAGATATCAGTTTTCCCCAACTTGGTATTTGGATTCAATTCAGTCCTGATTAAAATCTCAGCAAATTATTTTGTGAATATCGACCAACTGATTCTACAGTATATAGAGAGGCAAAAGACTCAGTACAGGTAACACAATATTGAAGGAGAAAAACAAAGTTGAGACACTGATGCCACCTTACTTCAAGACTTTCCTTAAGCCTACAGTCATCAGGACAGTGTTACTTTTTCCTAAAATAGACAAATGGAATAATTCATCAGCAGAACAGAATAGAAATCCCAGAAATAGACCCACATAAATATATGCAACTGATATTTGACATAGGAATCAAGGTAATGTAATGGAGCTAAGATAGTCTTTTCAACAAATGGTGCTGGAACAGCTGGACATTCAGACGAAAAAATAAATAAATAAATCTAGACAAACACATTACATACTTCACAAATGGATTTCAAAATGGATCATAGACCTAAATGTAAGATACAAAACTATAAAATTCCAAGATGATAACGTAAAAGAAAAACTGGGTGACCTTGGGTATGGCAACGACTTTTTGGATACAACATCAAAGTTATAATCCATGAAATAAACAATTGATAAGCTAGACTTTTTTAAAATTGAAAGCTCCTGCTCTGTGAAAGATAGTGTCAAGAGAATGAGAAGACAAACCACAGACTGGGAGAAAATATTTTCAAAGACACGTGGTAAAAGGACTGCTAACCAAAATATGCAAAGAACACTTAAAAACTCAACAATAGGAAAACAAACAACCCGATTAAAAAACGGGCCAAAGATCTTAACAGATACCTCACTAAATAAGATATACTGGTGGAAAATAAATATATGTAAACATACTCCATATACTATGTCATCAGGGAAATTCAAATTAAAATAGCAATAAGATACCACTATACGCCTATGATAATGGCCAAAATCTGGAATGCTAACAAGACCAAATGCTGGGTAAGGATATGGAGCAACAGGAACTCTAATTTATTGCTGGTGGGAATGTGAAATATTACAGCCATTTTGGAAGACATTTTGGCAGTTTCTTACAAAACTAAGCGTACTCTTACCATACAATCTAGCAATCAAGGTGCTTGGTATTTACCCAAAGGAGTTGAATATTTTGTCTACGTATATTTATAGCAACTTATTCCTAGTTGCCAAAATTTTGAAGCAACCGAGATGTCCTTCAGTAAATGAATGGATTAATATTCTGTGATACATCCAGACAATAGAATATTATTCAGCATTATAAAGAAATTAATTATATATAGAATTAATTATATAGAAAAATTAACATTATAGAAAATTAGTAATACAGAAAATTAGTAACTAGATAAAATTAATAATATAGGAAAAGGAAACATGTTCTCTCTACTTTTGGTGACTTTTTTCAGTGTCTCTGAGTCCAGAGATTTTCTGGTTCAATACCCCCATACAATAAACCTCACCTGATCTGCCAGAGTATATTAGGTATTCCAAAATATATGGGTCAAATTCTTGTGTTATTTTTAATCCAAATAACAAAGGCTAGGAAAAAAATTAAGGGCTGGTTATTTAAGAAATTACAACTTGAATTATGTAACTGACCTAATGCCTTTAAAAATTTTTGACACAAATAGTATAATAAATAGCAAGAATTTGGTCCCGTGTATATGTGAAATTTCCTATTCTTCAACTGGAGGCCAAGTGAGAGCCTCCAAGACTCCTGTCTGTCTGTCCTTACATTCAAGGCTTAGAGTAGAGAAATCAGAGTAGCTGAATTAATTCCATTCTCCCACGCTCATGCACTGAGTTTGGCCTTCTATTTAAGACTTAAAGAGTCAAAAATCATGACTATCATCTCCTCTTGTTTTCTTAGCTTGTTCCATCTGCCTGCAAAAGGATGTGTTTGAGAATTTTATTTCCTCCTTCATCTATGTCACAAGTTTTCTGGGAACCTCTCATCACAGGGTTCTTTGGGAAAGTGGACTTTGAGACAAAATTTACTGTGCACTATGTGTTTCATATGGAGAGTTCTTGTGATAAGCATCTTAAGAAGAAAAGAGATGGAGGTAGAATTGCCAGAAAGAGAAGTTGATCTGTGAATCAGGTCTGATGACAGCTTTGGCTCTTTCTAGAGCAAAAATTGTCCAACCAAATTGTTTTGCATTGGACTGAAAGGGCCAGGCCTTCATACCTCAGTGGTTGGATGGGTGATGACCTTGGGCAACACACATTTCTACATCTGAGTCAATGACTGAAGGAGTTGAAAATCAAAGGCTCTCTACTGACAGCACTTCCAGCAGCTGAGGCCACAAGTCATTTACTGAAGTGGGATCTGCGCAGTGAGTGTCCATGTCCATCACAATCCATTTCAGAGTCCTTTCTCTTTTAGGATAATGTGAGATATCTTGAGCAAGTCTTAAGTTTCTCTTGGAGATTGGAGAATGGGTTACTAACACATGCTCTTTCTACACTCTTCGTTTTTCTTCATACTACCTTCTCTTCCTGGCATATCTTCTCTAGGGGTATCCTGGTAAATGCTTAGCAACCAATTCTCTAGGAAGTTTTTTTAAAATCCCTGGTATGTGGTGTTTGCCAATTTCTGTTGTAGAAATACTCCCATCATGACCAATTTCAAACTACCAATGCGACATTACAGAACATAGAGTGGGAATGAGATAAGCACAATCAGCTCTCGTAAACCAATACAAGCCAGCTTCAGCATACCAATTTCTTTTACACTTTGTCCAGTTAGTAAGAATTAGCTAAAGTGTCAACTACTCTAATTCCTGATTCCTAAATCCTCAAGTAAAATTAACCACTCTTTAATAACAATATTGTACCTATTTCAATGATAGTATCTGTTAATTTTACTAATCTTTATACATATGTATCTCCACTACTAAACATTAATTCTTTAACATTAAGACCATGCATTCCATTTTTTATATATCCACACTATTGAAAGGAATAATTGCCACAATAGGTATTTCATGTTTCTCAATATATTTTTATTGGATGAGTGAGTAGGCAATAGCATTTACACTTGCAACATTTTATGAGTACTCATGATGGTTGGAGGAAACCAGCCCCATAGCGACGTGTTAGTGTAGCAGTCATGACTCCATGCTCAAAAAGTTTCCAATACAGCTAAGAAGAAAGTGAATATATATGAAATAATAAAATATCATCAATGAAAACATATGTATAAGTCATCTTAATAAAGAAGAAAAAAAGTAATGGGTTATCGACAAAAGAAACTGAGAAAGGCACAATGATATTAAAGATCCATACAGACATGTAAAACAAGAGTAGAAAATATTACTAAAAGATGAGGGTGGTTATTTTTCACAACTCCAAACCCACTCACAGAGTGAGACATGAAATCCTGTGCTATAGTACTGAAGTATACACATTTGCCCAGATGTTTAGACAGGAATTCTCAGGCTTTCTTGAGTAACTCCTATGTGTCTGCCTCATTATTTGCTGGTAAGTTGAAGGAGCAGATAGATCTACAGTGGCAATGGGAGAAAGGACATATCACTGTCCAGTGATGAGGTGGGGACTTGGTCTATAGCCAACAGTGACAGTATCAGTTCAAAGCCCTGGCAGGAACTCAGGTTCCAAACTTGCCCCAAGAAGTTAGAAATATTTTCATAAAAGGTTATAACATTTTGGCATGAGAGACAAAATATGGTCCAATGTGTTAGCAAAAGAGAGAGACAGAGAGAGATTTCTGAGTTTTAGATCATAAACATGAGAAACTATATAAACATAGCTACATTACATGAGGAAACTTATTGTTATTATTATAACTAAGAATAATAATTTAATAATATCAACAAATTGTACAGTTTTCAAAAACACCTATTTTACATGCATTGTCTATTATAAGTCTCATAATTATCTTGGAGATAGAAAAGGCCGTACTTATCACAATTCGGCTATGAAAACGTTAATCGCATAAGCGTTGATGATTAACTGAGAACATATATATAGGAAGTGAAAAAATTAGGAATTTAACCAAGTGATCAAGCCCCAAATATTTTACTTCTCAGCTACTCAAATAGCTGCCGCAAGATTTTTCAGTGAGAAAACTGGAGGATACAGGTTAAAGCCTCCTCCCTAGTCCAAACTTGCGGAGAATTCCTAGACGAATCTGCTTTGTCCTCACACTGTAGACAATAGGATTAAGCACTGGGGGAAGAAGCAGGTAGATGTCAGCCATGAGGATGTGGACTATGGGAGACAGATGCTTCCCAAAGCGATGGACCATTGACACCCCAATAACTGGCACAAAGAAGATGAGCACTACACAGATATGGGATACACATGTGTTGAGTACCTTTAGCCTCTCTTCACGAGATACAATGCCCAGCACAGCATTCAGAATCAGGACATAAGAAAGAAGTATGAAAATAGAATCCATGCCAAGTGTGGAGATAACTACACACAGTCCATAAACACTGTTGATCCTGGCATCTGAACAGGATAATCTCAGAACATCCTGGTGCAAACAGAAGGCATGAGAGAGGGCATTGACATGGCAGTAGTGATAGTGTCTCAGTAGCAAAGGCGTGGGCAGTACAACTCCCATGCTTCTTAGCAAGCAGGCCAAAGCAATCTTGCCTATTACACTGTTGGTGAGAATGGTGGTGTAGTGCAGTGGACGGCAGATAGCAACAAAACGGTCAAAGGCCATAGCCAGCAGCACTGAGGACTCCAGGAAAGTAAATGTGTGGATGAAGAAGAGCTGACAATAGCAAGCACTTGCCTGGATCTCCTGAGCATCCAACCATGACACAGCAAGTGTGGTGGGAAGTGTGGACAGGGACATACCTAGATCAGTTAGTGCCAAGATGGAAAGGAAATAATACAAGGGCTGGTGGAGTGAGGACTCTATCCAAACGACGGAGAGGATGGTAATATTACCAATAAATGCTACCAAGTATGCAAGACAGAGTGGGATTGAGAGCCACGAATGAACATACTCCAGCCCAGGAAAACCCCTCAGAATAAATATGGGCTCCACAGTATCATTGTTATTCCAGACCACCATGGTGACTCTTGGCAAACAGTGAGGAATGTTTTCTGTTATTTTTGTTTATCCCTCAGAATTATCCCTTGTGAGCATAAGCAGGATAATCAGGATGCAATATATATTCCCTCTAACTTCACGGAGGAAAGAAGGATGTACTTCTCATGGTTCTTATGTAAGAAGCATTTCCTAATAGTAAAAACACCAAATTCTGGAACAAAAATGTGTACTACACAAATCTGGTCATCTCTGACAAGAACTTTGATGGATTTGCGTTGAGGACACTAAAAAATTTAAGCAGCAAAAGAGTAGAAAAAGAAATATTTATTATATACTATAGAAATGAAAATGGTCTGTAAATGTCTGACTTTGCGTAAGCTTCCTGTCAGTAATGTTCTTAAGTTAATCATTTATTGCTTCTATGCTATCTTTTAATTCATGACAACTGAATTGATCCCAAGGACTCAATTTAATTTCCCTTCATATTTATTTTTATTTAATAATTTATAATATTTAAAAATTAAAAATATTTAATATTTTAATAATAAAAAATAAACATTCCATTATATGAAAAGAGGGCATGAAAAAGAGTAAAAAAGTCCATAATTCCAGTACACATGCACATTTTTGGCTGTTTAATGTAATTAACTCTTCCTTAACCTAAACTCCTCATAGTCGGAAAAAATATATATGTATATATATTATATGTATAAATATATATGTGTATGATATATATATATATATATATATATATCATAAGGGAACAGTGTAACTGTTAAAGCTCTTCCTGTATGCCTACTCACAAAACAAAGTTAATACAATATATTTAGCTCAGACATCTGTTATATATTGTTATCTTAAATTAGTAATAACAGGTAATATCCACTTCATTTCTATTTATCATTTCTTGATATTTTTTCCTCTCAAAATGATGCTTATAATCACATTTTTAAAAATGTTAAAACTAAATATTAAATGCTTTTCCAATTTTCTGACCCATTTGCACCTACCTCTGTGAACCCATAGCAATCCCAGAAATGCAGTCCTGAGTATTCACCAACAGTGCCTCTTAGAAACAACCAAGTTCATTTTCCCTTTTCAAAATATAATTCTAATGTCTGGCTTTACTTCCCCTGAGCAATCTTCATTGTGATTGCCTCTGCTAATGCTGTCCTTGCTATACCTTGATGGCATTGGGCACAGTAGCCAAACCCTATGGGATTCTCTGTCCCTTCAGTTCTCTGGTTCCTAATTTTAGCTCTGTCTTTGAGAAAATTCTTCGTCTTTGAGAAAATTCTTCACTTAGTCCTTAAGAGTCTAGGCCTCCTCCACTTCAGACCTCTGCGCTGCAATGTCTCAGTATCTTCCTCATCCTCCCTTGTAGACTCTTGATCTCTGACCTCTTAAAAGCCTAGCACAAATTTCATCCCTGGCTTGAAGTGAAGATCTTTCCAGCCTCATATTTATCATGGGTTCCATCTGTCCAACACTGACTTTTTATTGCCTCTATTTTATTTTACAAAAACTTAATTTTTTCTTCAAATTTTCCCTTCTTGACTGATTCATATATCCATTTTATAGTGTGAATGCTTAAAGTTCTCAGGCTGAACAATTTATAATTCCAAAGAAGACTTTGGCTTAGAATCTACATGTTAGGAACAGAAAGAAATACCAAGCTGCTTTCTCCATGTAAGAAGAAATATTTATCTCTTTCTCCTTTTATCCCCAAGTCCAGGCATCTCCCATCCCCTATGAGTGAGAAAACTCCCCGGTCCTCTTCTCCAGCCCCAAGTGAGACGTCTAAATGGAACTTTCACTAGGTCCCTTGTCTTGCATAAAGCAGTCAGCTACTCACCATGTTCTGCATCTAGCAGGCAGAGCACTTATACAACACATCTATTTTTCTCTACCTCCAGGCAACATTTTTCTCTCCAGTGTTTATAATCTACTAAAGTCCCTACCCAACTTTCTTTTTTTCCTCTTCCTCACTCAGAAACTTGTGTTCTAATTCTTGTTCGAAAGTTCAGCTCATCAAAACATTCTAGACATTAATATTGAACCATATAGAACACACACACATATACACACAAATATTATATTATGGCCATAATAGAGAGATATTTTCTTGTCCTCCATGCAAGGAAATTATTCTATGCTTTCTCCTTTAACTCTTTCAATGTTGGTGTAAATCACATTTTCTTCAATTCTCAGAGAAGTTGTAGGAAATAAAGTGGATCACTGCTCTTTAGAAATGTCTTGTTCACTGCTCTGAGTCCTCTAAGTGCAGACTGCAGTGTTTAGAAAACTTCAGTTGTAGGACCGCTCATAGATTTAAACTTAGGATAGGCCAGAATATCCCTACTTGTAGTCTTCCTTTCTTGTCCTTCTCTCTCTCTGACTCATCTGTCATGTCTTTCAGATTTTCTCAGTCCCTTTATTGTTGTCCCCTCTCTATTTATTTTCTTCTGACTCTATTTCCATGACATTAACAGTGATTCTTTGGGTTCTTTGTTTATTTTTATACAATTTAATCATAGTGAGGTGAAAAAGAAGTTGTAGGAAGAGACTGGGACTAATGACAAGACGGTTTCAATGGGCAGAGGCATGAAAAGACTGATGTCACACACTGACCTATTCCAAGTAATTAAGGGAGAACCAATGAGGATAAGATCATTTTATTACAGCCTCTCCAGCATCTTACCTGCAGTCCTCAAAAATTATCCTCCATTGACCAGCCTGTCTTAAAATTATTGAAAAAGATTGGAGCAGGACATTGCAATATGTTACAAATTTCAAAACTGTTCACAAAGAGAATGACATCCATTTTTCCCTCCTGCATAAACTATATATTGTCCTTCTAATGATTATACCATCTTTCGCCCTTGTATCTTAAAACAAATTGTGCCAAAATCTTCCCACTATTTATTTGTAATGAAAAGTTAACACTTACCTGAAATTTATCCGTTAAGCCAATTACATCACTATGAATGCTTAATCAAGCAACCAGTAGCCCATTTCCCAAATGATTCAGTTTCATTTTGTCTTTCTCAGCCTAAACTTTCCTCTATTGTAGTGTAAAATATATTATCTTTCTGTTTCCATTTCTGTGGCTTTCTCTCTCTCTGTGTCATTTAACTTACTTTCTAAACATCTTTATCCTTCCTATTCTGCTCCCTGCTGCCATTTCCTTCTATTTTGCTTTGCTTAAACATGTATCTTTTCTGCATGTAATTCTCTATTTTTTCCAGTTCTTTTATTGCCTCTATCTTTTTTCTCATTTCTTTTCATTATTTCTGTGCTTTTAGTTCTTGCTCTCTTTGTTTTATCCCTCACCTGTGAAGATTTCTCATCTTTATCTGAAGGTCAAATTTGTACTGTTTGCAGATGCTACAATTTTGATTCTCCATGTAACTCATGTCTTGACAACTTTTGGTTCCATGAATAGTGAGGTTTGAATGCTTCCACCATCTCTATAAATACTCCTGGTTTCTAGTGGGGTAGAAAATCAGGGATGGGTGTCAGAGTCTGCTGGATCCCCAGAGAAAGTGATATAAACAGCCCTTAACCCCAGCTGTGTAAAGAGCAAATGATTATGATCCTGGAAATTGCAGAAATGTGTCTCTACTTCTATCTACCACTCCCAGTCCTTTCTTTCAAGTGTAATAGTTTTCTCTTCTCAAATGAGCATATGAGAGTGAAGTCATGATAACTACTCTAACCGAGAGGAATATTGAAATTTCAGCTTCACTAGGGGCATCCATATAGAGCTAGGGTAATTAAGTACAGTGATAGGCTCTTCTGTTATAAAGTGTTTACCACTTCTCACTGAACAAGGTTGTTCATTAGTTATGTGTTTAATACTCATTTATTAAGCAACAACAGAATTCAAGGCTCTATGTTTAGCTCTGTAAATGCAAAAACCATTATCTGGTTGATCAATACGACCACGATGCCTAGTATGGAGCATGGCTTCCCAATGCATTCTTTTTCTTAGCTTATATCTTGACTATCTACCTATTTGCATTTATTTATAAATTTTAGAAAGTTTATCAATTTTCACCAAGATATATATTGGGACTTTAATTGAGAATGTATTGAATCTGTAGATCTATTTTGGGAGAACTGAAATATTTAGATTACCAGATTTTCCAATCCAAGAACAAGGACCTCAATTAATTAAGGTCTTTATTTTTTTCTCAATATTCTTTTATGCTTTTCTGTTGAGAGGTATTATATATCTTACGTTAGATTTATTCTTAAGTATTTGATATTAATTTATACTAATGTGAATAGCACTTATAAATTATCTTCATCTAAATCTTTGGTACTGATATATAAAGATAAAATCAACTTATATTTGTTCTTTTTCCTGAAAAACTGCTAAGCTTACTTGTATTTCTAATAACTAATCTGTATAATCTTTAGGCATTGTTTTTCACTAGTCTCACCTTCACGAGTAATGCCAGCTTCTTTCTCCTTTATTTCCAATCCTCATATCTTTTATTATATTTATTGATATTTTGTGCCCGTCTCAGCCTATCCATAACCAATGTTGCGGCTGGACAGGGCCTTTGTGATTCTTGTTATGACTGCAAGAGGCCCTCAGCAATAACGATCAAGAAACTTTGGAAAAAAACCCTTGAAATTACGTGGCATACCTGGGGCCACACAGCAAGTTTGCAGGTAGAGAGAGTGCAGACCTGGGGTTCTGCTTTTTTGGGGGTTGAGGGTGGGGGCCTAGAGTTTTGAGGGTTCTTTCTTTATTGGTAAATTTAAAACCTAAGAGTGGGGATTTAAAGCTTGGGAAGAGAAAAAACAAGAGGCTCAGCTGGTCAGTTATCTAAGGAGCCTGAGGTTGAGGGGACTGGGCGGGGGCGGGGTGCTAGCTCTTTATCTAGTTGTGTGGCTGGCAATGTGTTTACAGTATATTTGAGATAGCCATCTCTGAAGTGGATGCCTCAGCAATCAAAGCTTAAGTCAGGCACTTGCATTATAAACAAGTAAAACCACTGTACAATACACGTGACTTATTGCACTGGTTAAGATCTTTGGCATAATTTTGGGCAGAATTGATGAGCGTTATGTTGTTTTCCTTTTGTAGATCTTGCAGGTAACATTCTCAACATTTCACCATTGAAGTATGTCTGCTAGGATTTTTTGCAACTACCCTCATCAGAAAACGTGGTCACTTTCTATTCTTCCTTTGATAAGTGTTTTATCAAGAATAGATGCTGAATTCCATATGTCTGGTCCATTGAGATATATGATTTTTATGATTTATTTGATGTTACCTCATTATCCTATTAACGTGATGAATTATGTTGATTGATTTTTAAATATCAACTTTACATTTCTGGAATAAACTCAAGTTGGATGTACCCTTTATTTTCCTTTATTTATTGCCAGATTTGATTTGTTAATATTTTTAGGGGTTTTATATCCAGTGAGAGTGGCCTGAAATTTTTCTTACTTATAATGTCTTTGTCATGTTTTGCTATAAGATTATGCAAACCTCAAAAATAATTTAGGAAATATTCTTTCTTTTTCCCAACTGGAAGATTTTGCATATAATTGGCATGATTTCTTTATTAAACAGCTATCCAGGAGTAATTTTTAATTATAGTTTGTTAGATAATAGTTAAAGGATAATTTAGATTTTCTCCTATGTCAGTTTTGAAACTACTTGTGGAAAGATATAATCATAGATTATATTTTTAAACATTTATAGGGCTATTTGAACTTTCCATTTCTCCTTTTGCCTATTTTTATAAGTTATGTTTATCTAGGAATGTGTATTTTAGGTACACATTTTCATAGTTATTGGCTAAAAGTTATTCATTGTATATCTATATGATTTTTCAGTGTCTTCAGGAGTGTCAAATACAGCTGACTGCAGTGGAGCCATTTTAAAACAGAGTCAGAGGTGCCTTTCCAGAGAAACTCGTTTGATGTCTTACACCTTCAACTTAACCCAACCTTTGGACTGGGCCAAAATGGCAATTGTTTTGCAAGCAATTTTTTGAGAAATCAGCAGGAGAACTAACATCCTGGTCACAAAAACTGAAGATTGTGGACTTTCTGAAGATACGATCAATAGTCAATCAATGTTTACCAAAGCTTAACTTTCTGCCACCAACTCCAATTAAAATTCTTTGTAATACAACTTCCCTTTTTTGCCTTTAAAAACCCCTGACTTTTACTTCCTAAAGAGACACTATTTGGATTTCTACCTGAATCTGTGCTCCCCAAATTTCAATTTGAGAGCCCAAATAAACTTTTTGCTTCTCTTGCAGTTAATGCCTCTTATGTGTTGATGGGAGTGTTAAGATAGTGCCTTTTTGATGTTGGTTTTATATGCATTCTCTCTTTTACACTTACCAGTCACACAACAGATAAATAATCTTATTGACCTTTCAAAAAGTCAATTTTCAGAGATTGGGTTCTCCAGAAATAGATACTAAGGCAGAATTTGACATGCAAATTATTTATTAGGAATCAAAATCTGTGAGGGGAAGAGGAAGGAAGCAGGATTGAGCAAAAAGAAAAGCTCAATTGCAAAACAGGCCTGAGAAAGTCTTGGCCAACACACTTGGGCTCTCTGCTGCATTTCTCAAAAGAGTTTCACTATGACAGGTGGAAATGATGGGGCATTTACATTCCAGCTTCACCCATTCATCTAATGTGGGATGCCCTGAAAAGGTTGAGACCTCTAGGAAATGGTTCTCTGAACTTGAGGCAAACCACAGAGACCCTGTATATGTCATATCATAACAATGGATTCTCATCAATTTTACTTCCTTCTTTCTCATCTACTTTCCTTTAGTTGCTGTTGGGAACTCAAAATTATCATTTTATGCAGAATAATTTGAGTTTTTCAGAAATCACTCCAAAATACTCTTCATATTTTCAAAAAAAATGCATTCATCAGACTATATTAGCTATATTATCATTTATAATGAAAACAGTGATATTAAAATAGTTACTTTGTGAAATTTTCCTTTTATATGACATCCTTTCTTTCCCCTTTTTTATATCACCTTACTATAATCTTTCCTGATCATACTTGAAATAATGAATATAACGCACTAACCTCACTTCCCTCGGCAGACACCTTTACTTCAGCTTACCACCTAAAACTCAATTTCCTCATTTCAGGCTTTTCATTACCAAAGGGATATTGTGTGTGGCAGAACAACTCCTTGTGTCAGAAGAGTCCCCCAATCATCTTGATTCTAAAATAGGAAGATAAGTGCTTATGTCTGGCCAGGTGAATGGGATAATTTTTAATTCTAATACCTTGTATATCTCCTCATGGCTTCTACTACTGATTACGTGTGTCTGATTATATGCGGTTGCCCTACCCAGTCCATATTCTCCATCCAGGATTTCTTCCTGTAAATGCAGGCAGTGGGATGTGGACTTAGCAGTACATATTTTTATCTAATGTCTCAACAACAATGTTAATATTACCTAAAAATTGTGCTGCCGAGCACTGATTAAAGAAGTTTACATTTATTATGTCATTTAGCCCTATGACAGTACATAAATTTATTACAATTATTTAACAAATGTGAAACTGAACCGTACAGAGGTTAAATAACTTGGCCAAAGTCTCAGAGCTAATATGTAGATAAGCCACCATCCTAACAGTTGGTCTATATAGTTGCAATCTTCAAAACAGCATGACTAACATTCCTCGAACTCTACCATGTAGTAACATGCAAAATGTCTATTCCTAATCTTATTTTTTCTTACCTTTTCAGCTAATTCAAGAGATCATGGCCATCTCTTCTAGAGTTCTTCACTCTACCATACTCTTCTCTCACCAATGCCCCGATCACAGTGATCAGACATATCAAATGCTGAGACATACCAAATTGTAAGAACAAAATTTTATTCTTAAAAACCATCTGTATTGTGACCCAGAAGTGTTCTGAGTTGTGACTCAGCTGCCCTGCCTAGGTTCGACTCTTTAGAGTCTAGTTCAAGCAGTCCCCAAGGCTGCTTCAGTGCTTTGAGTTCTTTGATCCTTCAGTGAAGCCACCGAAAAGCCAGGTTGAATGATTCTTCTGTGCCAGCACTAGGACATATCAGATGAACATCTTTTTCCTGATGGGGACAGAAGAAAACAGTAAACTCCCAGTGAAACTTCCTGCCGAGATCCCCCTCCCTTCCAGCAGGCACACACCATACAGTTGCTGGATTCTTTGGATGTCATCAACATCGAGGTGGAAGGTTCTAGGGTCCTGATACACATAGCTAGGATACATGATAGAGTTCTGACTTCTAGAGTGGCGCAGGCCCAGAGAATGACCTAGCTCATGAATGGCAACCAGGAACAGATTAAACCCTGAAAAGATAGGCAAAAGGATAAAAATTAAATATGCGTAGGGAAGGCAGAAAGCATGTAAAAAAGATGGGAGAAAAAAGGAAAGAACAGAAAAGGGGAAAAGAGTAAATATTAGAATACAAGAAAAAGGCAGGAAGAGAAGGAAAAAGTCTAAGTGGGAAACAAAAGGGCAAAATATATAGACAGATAAACTGAAAGTAAACAAGAAGCATGGAGAAAATTGAGAGACTGATAAATGCAAGCAAAGAAATAGAGAGAGAGAAAAGCACAATATGACAATGTGTTTATTACAGGAGCATTTTTACGTAGAAATGATTTCACCTTCCCCCACTCAAATAGGAGACCCAATTCCTCAGCCAGATCTTCCTGCCTCATTCTGGCCACTCTGAATCCTTCCCTCTTTACTTTATTCCAGACCGAAATGGAGACCATCAATACTAACCCCCAAGCTCCCAGAGAGTTCTAGCACTCCCACCAATTAAAGTCCTTACCTTTGTATGAATTTGACCAACGTTCTCCCTTGTCAAAGTGGATAACTCCTGGAGCTTCAGAATCTGGTAAAAAAGCATGGCCTAGGATACCACCTGGCCCATCAAAGGGCCAATCATCTCCATGGGCTGTGGATGATGACAGAAGCTGTTGTCACAACAGGGGGTTGGGGACAAGGGCACAAATGGTTCTAGACAAGTCTCAGTGCCTTGGGGTGCCATGCAGCTGGGTACTGCTGGAGATATGAGAGGGCTAAGTCACTAGCTATGCAGAGGAATAGGGTGGGGCCAAAAGTATAGCTACTCTCTATCTCCTTTGGTAGAAGAGAAGAGGGAAAGACGGCAGACACTGAGTGAAGGTTATAGGTTAGATACAAAAAGCTCTTCCCAAAATAGAGGGAAAAAGAGGAAGGAAACTCAGACTGCAGGTTTTATAAATAGATTGGATCAGCTTTGAATAACATTTTAACACGTTTGAGGGCTCTACAACTCCCTTTTGACATGAAAATGTGCAATCCCCCTCACTCTGTTCACACCACAGTGCATCCCCTCCCCCAGCTGCTGTCTCATTGTACTAAACATGTCTTTCCTTTATTATTGATTTCCATTAGGATTTCCTGATTTTTTTTTTTTTTTCTCAGAAGCTGGACTAGGTAGACTGGGTTTTTATTTATGGATTGAGACCATTTGCCCTTTACCTGGGACACCATATGCTCCCTCCCATGTCAGTTTCTCACCCAGGTCCCAGAAAGAAAGCATGATGTCCGCATCTTGACTCTTTGCTTGCTGGAAGATTAAGGGGGTCACGTTGCTCCACACGGAAACCGCATCATGCATGATGTCTTTCACTGTGTCTGGCTTCATATCTCTTGGGTAATTGATAATCCTGAAGAAGAAATCTCTAAGTGGGATAGCTCAGAGGTATGAGAATTATCCTAGCTCTAAAAATGAATGACTCTGCATTGGGGCAAATCATTTAATATTTTAGGGCCTCATTTTGCTCATCTGTAAAACAGAGTAAATCCCAGACAAATTGAATCACAAACCCAAGACATTAAACCTGCAAAATATAGATTTCTAAGAACTTTGTAACAAAGTCTCTACATTATTCTTATGTAAAGTAAAATCTGGGAACCACAGCCCTGCAGGTTAATTGTGAAAAAAAAAAAAAAAAGTGTGAACTTAATGGAAATGTACAACATTCTATATAGTGTAGTACTGCTTTGCTTTGGGTGTTTTCAATATGCTTAGGAACCCCAATAGAAAGAGTAACCTAGACAGGGAGCAAAAATATATCAAAATTGCATCCTATAAATACCTCCCCCGACAGACACATACACACAGAAAAATGACAGATTTAACTACGGAAAGAATAGTGGGTTCATGGTCAAAGGACAGTGGTTAGGCTCCAGCTCCTAAAGAGATGATCTGAGGAAGCTAGAATAACGATTGGTAGAATTGCCTTATCTGAGGCAGATTTGGGGTTTTGGAGAGACTGCTAGGGAAAGAGGAAGACAGTAGAGGTGCTGGCAGGAAAGACACTGTAGGAAATCCTTTGATTTCATAATCACCCCACTCATTGCTCCAGGCCTTAACAACAAGCACCTATAGGTCAGAGTGTGCTTATTCCATTTGGAGCTTCCGGGGAAGATAGAGTCAGTAGCCGCATCAGTTACTCCACAGCGAGGCAGGTGTAGCATAGCCAGCATCTGCTTGTTTTGTACGTCTGTCTCATTCAGATGGAACTGCTGCTGGAACTGTATCTCTTTCCTCTGGGTAAGGTGTGGTGATTCTTTCTTGGGCAGGAAAAACTGATGGAAATTGTCCTGGGTGAGATAATAAGGACAGACTCACAGTATAAGCAACCCAGGGCATAGCCTCATTTGAGGGCCTGGGAAGGATGATGCTTTGTCTATCTGGCCTTCTTCAACCTCCTGTTCTCAGTCAAATAATGGCAACTATCCCTGATTCTCCTGTTACCGGGTAGATGGTATTAAACACAAGTGATAAAATAAAAGTGATCTAGATAACCTGTTAAAAATTCTCCAAAAATAAAGCATCCAAGTTTCAGGACAGAGATGCCCAGGAATAAAGTTCATGAAGGTCTTAGACGGGAATTGCCCAGGGAAGACGGCCTCTTTTCTTTCTGATAGATTTAGGTTTTCTCAATCAGGACAGAATCTACGACTCCTAGGACATAGAATTTGGCTGGTTTTGCATACCCAGTCCATTTGCATTTACACATTCCCTTCAGTCCCTACTTTGGGAGACTCTCCAAGTCTCTATTGACTTTCATACCAGTCCAGAGTAAAGAATCTCAACTTACGAAGAAAAAAAAATAGCACTTTGTAGTATAGTCAGGCTTTCTATGTCTATATTTGAACCCTAGCTGGACTGAAAGTACTTTAAGGGCAATGCTCATGTCTAATACAACTTGGTCTATACTACAGTTCTTATGATAGTACTTGATATAAAGCCATGATTGATTTCTGCATTCTATGTAAAATTGCATTTTTATGCCTGTATTTTATTGTGACCTTGGCTGGGCGCTCAGAGGCATGTGATTGATCATATTTTTCTGGGCTAAGTATTAGCAGGAAATTTTACTAGGTCCCTGAACAATTATAAAATACGTGACTAAAATCATTTATAAGGAATTTTAGGTATTTTGGATGCTTAAAAGGTTTGGAACAAATTCGCAGTTTCTTGAGAAATTTGAAAGTGTGTGATAGATAGTTTGAGAGATTTTTCAGTCAATAGAAAGGACATTTTAGTCCATTTGAATTACTTCCCCTGACCCCTCACCACCTACCCGGCTCAGAGATCCTGACACCTGAGTGTTCACTCTATGCCCTGCAAAAGACTAAAAGTGTGAAAGATGAACACTGGCACTGAATTATTCATTAAGCACAATAAGCACAATAATTTTAGAGGCCCAAAGATGATTTCATTTCCTTTAAAATCAGAAGGAAAAAAATGAACTTATAGTTGAAGAAATTGATTTAATATGTAATATTAATATATTTGTCCTTATACCATGCAGTAATGTGTATGCATATGATACATATATGGAAAAAGAGCCCACCATAGTCATAATGTAATAGTTTGGTCCTGATAGCACACTTACCATAACAAAGTCCAATCTTTTCAGGTCTGTACCTGGGGGCACCGGGAAAGTCAGGCACCAAGGCAGGAAAATAGTAGCTATTAAGATGGCAGGTTGCATGGTAAATGCTCATTTCTCCCTCTGCCTGAATTCATGTACCTAACACGGATCACGAGGCCTTTATAGCTGTGCCAGCAATGTCTAGTGACTCATGCCTTTTCTTTGCATTGGTTAGTGTCGTCATGCCCATTCTGTGTTGAAAGTAGAGTGGTCAGTCTGCCAGGGTAATGACTGCAACCATGGGATTTATTTGCATGTTTATTCCACACCTGATGTCCCTCAGGCTACCTGGCCATAGCCTTGGCTAAGGAAATACTGGTATAGCTCAGGATACAGGGGATATTATTATTAAAAATGGAGGAAAATAAAAACAAGAAACAGGAGACATAAGAACAATTTATTACAACTTTACCTATGGAGTAATTTCTTTACTAGTCACAGAGAAATACTGTCTTGCTCCAGAAGCTAAAGAGAGAAGAGAGAATGTGAGGAAAGTAATAGCATCCGCTGTAGTACAGACCCAGATCAGAATATGAAAAACCTCTGAGACCCATATAAGGGAGATATAGAAACACACAGAAAGAGAAGCTGTGAAAATATGTTTCAGCATGTTTTTAGTTTCAGTACTAAAAAGTATGCTAAAAATATGTTTCATAAAATAAATCATTGATAATAAGTTGAGAGAGACACAGAGATATACATACACAACATAAGGTTTCAGCTAAGCCTTTGAAATCACACAGATATGGCTAAGAATATTAACTGCTACTTAAAAGCTGATCTGCTTTAAGCAAGTTATTTAACTATCTATCTGTAAATTAAGGGAACTAATCATATTTATATAATATGATAGTAGTGGAGACGGAAACTGAGCACTGGGTCTGGTACACAGTAAATCACAACTGATAAGAGTTGCTTTATAATTATTATTATATTCACTGAGACACAAAAATTGAAGCACAAACAAAGACCTGGAGAAATTGAGAAAGAATGAAATCAAACACCAATCTTTTATTGAGCACTTTCCAAGTGCTCAGACCTGAAATTGCCTCTCTAATGAGGAAGACACAGAGTGCATGGATGTGGTTCCATTTCTTGCCTTCTAGGAGCTCATCCTCTGGCAACCACAGGGACACCTGCTACACTAGTCCTCAGAGGGCAGAGTTTGCCAGTGTACCATGCCTTGCTGCCAGTCCCTCCAGATAAACCGAATGAGATAAAATGACTCTGGGAAGAGTGTGGAAATAGGATAGAGAATGGATGGGGCGGGCAGGGGTATTCACTACTTCTGACTCACCCCAAAAATTCTACATCCCCACCTCCACAGCAATTCCTTCCCAACAGCTGATGTTAATCAAATTTCTTTCTCCTTCTTCCGGAGACCCCTATTCACTAAACATGGTACCATCCAGCGTTATTGTCTCTGCAAATACAGCTTCAATAAGTTGAATTGGTTTGCCTTCTCCTATACTTTGAAAGCATACCATGCCCTTCTAAGGTAATGAAACTTCCACCAGTGATGCCTATGGAGAATTGTAGCCCTCTGCTCTGTACACCTACCTCTGTCTTCTTCATGGCTGGGAAAGACACTATATTTGATTGAGGCTTCTCTGACCTGGCAATATTTGGCATTGAGGAGTGGTGAAAGAGAGGAGGTGAAGACTGTGCCAACCACGATCTTGGCATAAGACTAAGTTCACAATTTAATTAACTTTAGCCTGGTGGCAAGAAGGGATAGAAAGCAGAGCTCTGAGCCTTGGGCCTATGGTAAAAACAAAAATCAAATCACGGGTGTTAAGGATGGAAGTTGAGGGTCATAGAAGAACTTATATATATATATGTACATGATAGATAGATAGGTGGCACTCAGCAACAGCAGGGAACCAATCACTGATATGTGCAACAAAGCTGGCAATATCAAATCATTATATTGAGTTAAAGATGTGAGACTATGGTTGCATTTATATGAAGTTCAAGAAAAGGCAAACGAATTTATGGAAAGAAACCAGAACAGTGATTTCCTTTGTCGTGGAGAAGAGAGAGGATTGATGGTGAAAGAGCACAGGGGAAGTTTCTCAGGTAATGACACCTTCAATTTCTTGACTAGAGTCTGGGTGATACAGGTGGCTTCACTTTTCAAAACTCATTAAACCATATACTTAATATCTGAATTTACAATATGGTACTCATACCTCCATAAAAATTAAGGAAATTTAAATAAATAAAAGAAAATTGTAGATCAATAAGGTACCAAAGGTGACACCCTTTTCACCTTGAGGGATACAGCACTATAACATAAATGGTAATATATGTGGCCGAATGAGCATGTATATGATAATGTTGTTGGTGTTATTTTAATGTGAGAGTGCTATAGTTTATGTTCTAGAAGAAGGAAGTTATATTCTAAAGATACAGGAACATAATGGACAATCAACCATAAGAATTAAGAAGACCCAAGGTATTTGTGATAAACTTGGAAAAGGGAATATCTTAAATCCGAAAAAGGCAAGGTGGAGTTAAGTTTGCCTATGGAACAAGAGATGTTTATTGTGAGACAGGTATGGTATAAAGACAGTGTATTCCTTATAGCCTCTTTCAACTTTGTGAAATATGAGTTTGTTCACTGAAACTTAACAGTGACATAGGCCTTATTTAGTCCTCATTTCCAAGATGAATAAGCTGAGGATTAGGAAATAATACAAACCTTTTCATGCAGATGGTAAAAAGGATAAGATTTGCTTCTACCTCTGGTTACTTCTAAAATATTTTATTAAATGAGGCATGCTACTTTATCTTTACTGGCAGATATCCATCATTATACCATCAATATATCCTTGATGTTCCTTTAACTTAAATAAATTCACAAACCTTGGGACCTAGCTCAATGGAGTCACAATGAAGGAAACAACTCCTAACTGCCAAAAGTTACTAAAAGTTATTCAAAACCCACAGTAACATTGGAAAAACAGAAGCAAAACCTTCTTTTTGAATTTCTTATGTCTCCTCAGGCGCTCTGAAACATCTCACTTTCTAAACCTCTCGCATTCAATCTCCGAAATGCTCCTGCACCATTTCCTTGTGAGTTATTCTCTTTTATCATCCCTAGTTTCGTCATTACTCTCCTGTACATCAAAAGTGACCAACTGGAGTTCAGCTTCCTCTATCTAGGCTAGACCTGTCTAGGATGATTAGAAGTAAGGTCCTTCTAGTACCCTTGGAGGGACATGATCAGAGTCTCCTGTAAAGGATAGTTCTTCAATTACTATGACTTGTTCTTGACATTCTGGTGCAGAATTGTTAATAAATGAAATCCCTCTATGTTTACAGGTCCATAAACCACACCATAGACTCACTGAGAACAGGGACTTCTTCAGTTTGCCTTGATAGATATAGCACAGTCTTTGGAACCTAGAAGAAACTCACTATTTATTAGATGAATAAGAGTGTTCAGTAAAAGAATCTTAAAGTTACTAGTGAGATTGGAAGTGACTTCTTTGTGAGTATCTATTTTGTTAGTGGTAAACGTGAGCATGTAACTTAGATCTTTTGACCTAGGGCAGATGATAATTATAATAATTTATTGAGTACATATGCTGTGTCAAGAATGCACTGTCTTGTTTCATCAGCACAATGATTTGTGAAGTAGGAGTTTTATTGTTTCCATTGTATAGGTTAAGAAAATGGACTTTGACGTCATTTGACTGTCATTTGGACAGTCACAATGCTCAAAGTGACATGTAGAAGTTATAAACAAAAATCGTTTTACTCTGAAAGCAGAACTTTTAATCATTTAAGTGGACTGCCAATTTCGGAGAGATTGCTCCATCTCTTATGGTGCCACACGTCGCTGTGATGCTGTTTCTGGTGCACCCTGCCATCTGATAGGGCAGATTTGAATGAGCAGCCACCTGTAAGACTGACCCAGTACTCAAGTAAATGAGTGCTGGGTGCTGAGACTTAGCTTACCTAAGAAAGTAAATGAGTGACTTATTAATGATTCTGCTGCAGATAAGGAGAAGTATGTATTTGAAGTATAGCAGTGTTTCTCAAAATGTAATATGAATACTAATCAAATGGGGATGTTGTTAAAAACACAGATTTTGATTCAATAGATCTTAGAGGGGCCTAATATTTTGAATTTCTAACAAGCTTCTAGGTGATGACAATGTTGCTTTCCAACGTTTCTAGGGGGTGTTGAGAATGTAGGGAGTGTATAAACTGTGAATTCAAGCAGAAAATTTCAAGAATGGATACTAGATTTTATATTTTATTTAAAAAATGAGGAGCTATGAGAAACAAGAACCCATCTCTCTTCTCATCCCCACCTATACTTTCACCTTCTTCTTCATTCCCATAGCATCTGATGCCTGGGGATAAAAAATCTGGCTTATGCTCAAAACCTTTCCCAGCAGAATATAGATTGTTTCCCAACTCTTTCTGGGTAAACTATCTTGGTGGCACGAGAAAAAGCATTTTTGAAGCACAGGAATGCATGGCCTCTGTTTCTCTGATTGACATTGTGGGATGGGGGAGGAGGATTTGGGGGGACATTTCCCAGAGCTAGGTAGTTGTTGCCTTTGTCATGACACTGGCAACTCTGCTGGGAAAGAGTGACTCCATATCTAATTCACATTGACATAGAAGAAATGTTTCCACAACAGAACTCTAATTTGGGTTTAGACTGAGAAAAGAATTAGTGATAGAGAGCATAGAGGATAATGAGAGATAGGAACAAGGGGATTGGGCAGGCTGCAAAGAGTCATCAATATTCCTGTGCTAGTACAGAACAACATGAATGTTTAATTATAACCATATTTAATTATTTAATTATTATCAATGTATATTTTCTTTCCTGAAACTATTCTCCATTCACAATTTATTTTTTCTGTCCAGAGAGTGCCATTTCATTCGTGATGCAAAGGTTTTTAAGATACAGAGCCTGCCTTAAATTAGTTTACCATCTCATAGAATGATCTGTAAATTAAACATAAAATTGTGAGATAGTGATAAGCCTTGTAATAAATATGTATACAATTTAGACTAGAGACTAACTTGAGTAAGATGTTAACCTGCCTGGATTTGTCAGAGAAAGATTACATAGAGGAGATGAAGTAACCTGGGTCTTATATTTAAAACTTATTGTAAGAAC